AACCGCTAAACCCCAAACCCCAAACCCTAAACTGTCGGAGAGCATCCCTAACAGTTGGAAGGAAAGCTGAGAGCCAACGCTAAACCCTGAGCCCTAAACTTTAGGGGTTCAGGGTTTAGGGTTTAGGTTTTAGGGTTCGTCCCTGATCCCCTAAACCCCCTATACCCGTAAAAACCTAAAACCCTAAACCCTAAACCTACCCCGTTAAACCCCTCATGTAGAGGCCTTAATAATTAGAACAAGGTTTTGAGGTTCATTATACTTAAAAAAATAAGGAGCACCCCCCCAACAAAAAAAAAAGAAAAACAAAAACAAGTATTGCAATTGGTAAGTATTTAGGCCCCTACGGTAAACCCTCTCAAATGCCTGCCGGGTCTCCATCCCACTTGCCCTTCTCCCCCTTGCCCTTGAGGCTGGGGCCTTTTCCCTTCCTTGGCTTCAAGGTTTAAGGGTTTGGGGTTTAGGGTTTAGGGTTTATAAGGATTTAATTTAAGGGCTTTGGGTTTAGGGGTTAGGGTTGAAGGCGCCCACGGGCTGCGAAGTACAAAGGAACAGCCACGAACCGTTATAGGAACCTTGAAAGAACTTGCTCAAGAACTCTAGAAAGAACAATTCCTGATAAAAACAGATGCCCAGACCACTTTAGGAGCTCCCTAAAGGTAAAGGGAGCCCTCTTACAGAACCCAAAGTTTGACCCCTAAGCCCTAAACCCCTAAACCCTAAACTCTTCAAAAATCCCTTATCTGCCCCAACAGTCGTACCTAGTGCGGGCCCGAAGGGGCCAACCGATATCCCTTGTCGAAGGAAGCTACCTGAAAATGCAGAGACGTTCTATACTTGGAGGTTCATGGGTAGTTTTGAGTGGGGTTATAAGTCCCCTAATATGGGTTATAAGTACAGCTACCCTACTTATAACCCCAGTTCTAACTACCCATGAACCTCCAAGCAGGGTTTCAGGGTTAGGGTTAAATGCTAGATGCACTTCAAACTTTAAGGGTTTAGGGTCACCTTCGATAAGCCTGCGTCTTCGTTGAGAGCTTTTCCAGAGAACCTGTACCGTGTGAAAACAGCTTGCATCGCTTTAGACTCAAATAGGGTTCAAAACGTTGTAGAGTATACTTATCGGGAGGGTCCTAGGGATCCTTAGGGAGCTTTAGGGAACCTAAGGGAGCCCTAGGGAGAACTGGGGATTATTGGGTTATATACCCCTCTTAGAACCCCCTCCCTTAAGGATCCAGTATAAACACATTATTCGGAGCAAGAGCAGTCCCAGCGGCAGGAAACCAGACCCATCCGCCCCGTCATCGGCGATGTTCTCGAAAGTGTCACCCATGTCCTGATCAGCTATAAACCCTAAACCCCTAGCTCGAAACTCTAATTATAAACCCTGAACCCTGAACCCTAAACCCCTGACCCTAAACCCTAACCCCATGTAAGGCTAAACCTGAAACCCTAAAGCCGCTATGCGGAAAGTCAGCGTGGCTCTCTTGAGGGTTTCGGGATTCAGAACGATATAGGGGGGTTGATAAACTTGGGGATTTGAATTTTGGGTTGAAGAACGATTCACAGTCTGGATCTTGGCATTGTGCTGTGCTGGTGTGGGCATGTATCGTGGCTGGGGGTCGCGTGTATCCATTCACGTGCTCTGGATTCAGCATCTCTGGCTGCCGTCAGAGGTCATGAAAGACTGCACTCACCTCTGATACGCAAGCCCCTACACCTAAACCCTAAACCCTAAACCCTAAACTCTAAAGCCCTAAACCCTAAACTCCGCACAGTTAAACATGTTTGTGAGAATTACAGCACAACGCCCCACCGCAAACCTGGGACGCCTGGACGGTTCATCTCACCGCCACTTCACAGGGTCTTACTGCCTTGGCTAGAAGGTCTTAAATCGTTCTTGATAGGCTCGAAGTGAACAGGCTCCTCTCTATAAGTGTCTACGCACGAATATATGTGCACCCACACACACACACATATATATATATATATGTATGTATGTATGTATATAAAAAAACGTATACCCCCTCCATCGCAACACAGAAATAGTGACTACGTTTTCATAGGCCGATTGGTTTGTACGATGACGATGATAAGAATGAGAAGCGATTCCAGGGAACACCCGACCAAAACGTTCAGGTTTCTTGCCCGACGACGGTAGGTTTAGGATTAGCCCTAAGGGTCCATGCGCCTAAACAGCAGAGCATTGGCCCTAAAGTACCCATATAGGGACTACATTAAGGCCAAAGTATATACTATTTGGGTACATGGACCCTTAGGATTAGAGTCCTATAAGGTAAACCCGTTCCTTTTGGGGGTTCATATATAGAATCCTATAATATAGGTAAACCCAAAAAGGAACTACTACGGGGCCTATGGGTTAATTCAACATCCCCCAGAGGTTGGAATTGGGATCCCACCTGGGATCCTAAACCCTAAACCCCTAAAATACTATTTGGGTACATGGACCCTTGGGATTGGAGTCCTCGTCGAAGCCATTCAGGACGACGTCCGACGCAATCGGCAGCTCATTTCGCGGGCTCAGTCGGAAGGTGATGATCGATCCTCGGCTTCATGAGCTTCTTTTAGTGTTTAGGGTTTATAGGGTT